TAGACAAAGACATTTATGAGCACGATTGAAATTTTTTTTTTCTAGATTTCCAACAGAAGAAAAGCTGATACTGTTTTGCATGGTTTTTGATGTTAAGACCAGAATTCATGCAATCTAAAAATCAGTCACATCCACAAGGATTACCACATTCAAGTTTATTGTTCCATAATTCTTGCAATTCTTCAACTGAAAGGTCAGGCATAGAGAGCATGTCAGGAGAACAGACTTTGGAACATTGCCAACGTGTATCTTCAACTCTATGGGGTCCAAATGCTGCCATCCAGATCCCCATGGTCACATCTTCCCCTTGATATGTTTTTAGTTGGTCAGACATTTGGACAAGCCCTTGACTAAGAACTGAAGAAATCACATAACCAGAACCGCAGGCAAATTTTGGGTAAACGATTGCATCATAATCCCACTCTGCCCATTTGCCATGACGTTCGACCACCCAGTTTGTGCGGAAATTCCCGGACCAGAACCTTTCATGATTGATACTCTGCACATGAGTAAGGATCTGCTCTATATTAATATAGCAATCATCGTCCGTTTTCAGAAGGTATTTAAAGGAATAACTCCCAGCTGCTTCCACTTGAGCTTCGAGAATCTTCCGGGGTACAGAACGATAGGTGTCAACCTCGGGAACAAATAAAATGTCACCAAACTCTTGGTGCTCTTCTGAAAGTGAATCTGCTTCTTCTATTTTCTGTTTTGACCAACTTTGATGCCGTAGATCCTGATCTTGCAGATGAGATGCTAAACCTTCAGGATCCTGCATACGGTAAATAAAATTAATTGCTGGAACTGACCAGCAGTGAATCTTTTGACTTTTCTGGTAAAAGTGAATCACTTGGCTCCCAACTGGAGGCAAGCAAAAAACTGATGTTTCATTAGCATTGGCATCTAAAATGTTATCAATGTTAATAGAACTCTCAAGGGAGAGGGTACCTTCAAAGCCTTTCGGCAAAAAGAATCGCTCAACAGGTTGGTAGAAGAAATGGCTTTTGGGATGTCCTGGATCCACACTGTTAAACTGGACACGGGTCACTTCTTCCTGGTTGACAGTGTTATAAAGTAAAACAGGTATTGACTGGGGACTAATGGAGGATTTTAGAAACATGTGAATGCCTATTTGATGTATTGTTATTGGATGTAGGACCTTAAAGGCCAAAGAAAATTTTTGATATGGAAATTCTTGGATGTCATGATGTGAATCAATGTGATTAGGCTCTAGTGTGTAATGAGGGGCCAATTTTTCTGGGTCATCTATGCTGACCAGTGCTTCATGATAATCACTATTAGTGTTGGTTATGCTGGGTGACCATAATGTACAAGAATACGGATGAACACGATCCTCAATTGGAATATCACAGAACTGATTACCAACAACAAAGAGAATTTTCACCTGGGCGGTTAGGGTTGGATAATGTCGATTTGCCCAGGTGTCACGTATGACATTGCGTTGGGCAAAATTCTCACGGGCCGATGTCACTAGAACTAAAAGATCAACATTAACACGTGAAAGACGAATGTACATGAATACAGCCACAACAAAGACAACGATGTTTGACCACACCATTGACGACATCATTGTTAGACTACTTCTGATGATACAACTTAAAGAAAAAAGACAAGCAAACATTTAAATAATATAGAATAGATTGAAACAAAAATTATGGATTTTTAAGTTAATTCTCGATCATTTGCTATAAAAAAAATGAAGGTATGGAAAACAATACTGGTGAAATAAAAAGGATAATTTTTTTGTAAATTTAGTTTAAGAATGATTTATTTAATTGATTGACTTTTTTTTTTAAATATTTTAAACGAAGAAGTTTTTGGCTTTTCATTTAAAAAAAAAAAACGAAGATTGCTATTAAACTCAAGACTAGACAAATATACAAAAAAAAAGTGCTATTTTCATTTTTTTTTAATTATTTAAATATTTTTAAATGAATAAAAAGCATGATTCGCTTGTTTGGATACCGAATAAAAAATAATTATGAAATTTGAGAAATTCATTAAAATCCAATTTAATAAAAATTAAAATTAAAAATGCTTTTTTATCAATAAAAAATGAAGTGAATATTTTATGTAAATTTTCTTTTCGTAATTATTTTTCGCAATATTGAAATACATTGCTTTAAAAACTTTTACTTTTGTTTCATTAAATCTTTTTCAAACTGATTTTTAAATAAAAAAAAATAAAATTAGTTTAAAAATCAAATAATCTTTTCTTTTTAAAAAAAATCTCTTTGCACAAAAATCATGAAGTTTTCTTTTTTTGCGTATGACCCAAAAAATGAAATTTCAAAAGACTTTCCTTTTTCTAAAGTATCATGTCGACGTACAACACAGCAAAAAGGACAATATAAATGGATTATGAAATAAAAAATAATAATTCTGAACTTATTTACTTCTTACTGCAGTGCGGGCAATCACGCTGATACATTTTGACTTACCGTAAAAAGTGCTGAGGCCAATCCGGTGTAAAACCAAATAATCTATTATTTCACAAATAATTCGAAGTTATCTCCCTTTGATTGAAAGGTCAACAACTGCATAAAACATTTGTTAGGAAGTTGAATCTACTAAAAAATCTTATTGTGGTCTTTGACACTTAAACAATCTACGAAACTACCGCCAAAGATAACTCACTGTTGTTGGCCTTACACCAGACTAAGCTAGGTCTATTGAATTACTACTCATTTTGATTCTTAGCTGGTGACACCAACATAAAAGAAATCAAAACAAATTGTAGGCTGTTAAAATATATCATAATCACATGTCATTAATTTCCATAGAAAGGAAGGACATTTGAATACATTTTTATGCTTTCATGGCGTATCTGTGGCCAAGTTTAATTCAATAAACACCATGATGCAGTTATTCCAACTGTGAAGGAATCATCTTGGTGTGTTTTTTTATTTACAAATACAAAATGATAAAATAAAAATAGTCATTTTGTCCAAGTTTGTTAAAATCCTTTGTTGTGTATTCGATTATAAAGAAAAGAACATTTTTTTTCTTTCACTCCCAATTTTCCCAAGATAATTACAAAAAAAAGTGACGGGTAAACTTGCCTATGTCTCTTCTCAAATATATTTAAAAATAAGGTCAAGAGTTAGTCATTATAGCATGATTTGCCTTTTAGTTTTATTGCCTTTCATTAATTAAGTGTTCACACCTGTAGCAACAGCTGGTTTATAGGAGAGAGTAAATGATAAATTTTCTCAATATTCTTGCATTTTAGCTGTTTTCAGCAATAATTTTTGTAACAGCTGTCTTACTATTAACAAAAAATTAAGTAAAACGGTTTTTATTTTCCCTGACCAACAAGGTTCAAGCATTTGCTCATTCTTGGGAGACTGAGAGTTTGTATTTAGTATAACACAAGCTAGTAGTCATGATAGACACATGGAAAAAAACAACACATTTGAGTAGTCAAGTAAGATAGATGCATGTGAGAAAATCAACATGCATAGATTTGTGGGGGGTGGGGAAATTCTCCAGGAATTATTGCATTGCAGCAGTCAAGAATGAGTCTCTGCAGCTGTCACTGGCTGAAGATATTACTATTGATAGAAGTGCCTTGGTGTTACTGCTGAAGACTTGGTTAAGCTTGCCTGCTGTGGGGGTTCATTGCTACTGCAAGCCTGGTTGGATCTCTCTTTGTGAGTGGAAACATTGGTTCTATAGTCAGTCAGTTGCTCTATTCTGGATGCTGTGCAATCTGTTCCATATAAAAATAATACAACAGTACACAAAATCAAAATATAAAAGACATCTAAAACCAGTTTCAGAACAAGGAGTATCCATTTTACATTAATTTTATTATCATTATTTCAGTTTTCAGTTTTTTGTTCAGAAAATTTGTCTTTGTAAACTTTTCCATGTTCTGTAACTAGAATTTTTAATTACCACATAATGTTTCTTGAATGTGGTTAGTAATGTGAAACTTGGAAAATCCATAAAAATGTTACTATATTGTAATAGTGGCATTTAGTCTATTATAACTTATCACTGTCGGCAGCCTTATCTCATATCCAAGAATTTAGTTTCTTTGTTGATTGCTTCCATTATGATGATGGTGTTGATGATAGTAGCACCTGTTAGGGTCCAGCTATAGGCAAATAGTGACCCCCACCCCTAAACAAAAGCAAATCACTATGAAAGTATAAAAATACATTTTTATAGTATAACAGCAATACATTTTTATATAAAAAATTACTAACACTATATATTTATAGTAAAATTACCAACAATACATTTTTATAGTAAAATAAGCAAGAATACATTTTTATAGTAAAATTACCAACAATACATTTTTATAGTAAAATGACCAACAATGCATTTTATCTCTCATTAAAGGCATACAATTTCATTCCAAATATATTTAGTTGAAGTCATAAAATTGTGTTCAAAATATTTAGATTTTGGCATTAAATGACCCATAGAGGTGTTGATATGCTGCTAAACAAAAACAAGCAACCAACTCTTCAGGAGGCATTCTTAAAAAAAACGTTATTCTTATCATTTCTTGATTTGCTTTTGGTAGGAAGAATTCAATGCCTCAAATAAAACATATACAATGACCTTATTCACAAGAAAAGGGTAAAAAGAAGTTTCTTTAGACAAGACTGCTTTTGTTCATTGTTTTTTTTATTTAAACCCCCTTTCATGTTTGTCTTCTCTGAAAAACATTTCTGTAGTCCTTGTTTCTGATTTGATTTGATTCATTTTCTATGGTTTATCAACCCTTTGCAGCTTATTTAAAGCCAGAAAATATTCTTTTAGATTGATAATGATAATCAATTTTTTTTTACATAACAATGATTTAGTAGTATAAGTATTGCTAATTAACCCATAGTTAGGGGAGAAGAGATGGATTAATATGTTTCCCAAAAGTATTTGTGGGTGGTAAGTGAATATAATTAGAACTCAGCTTTCTGATTAACGATTCCAAGTTATTATCCGTTACACCACCCACACATCCAAACATACATCACCTGGTATTCCCAAGTGGTCACCCATCTAGGTACTAACCAGGATTGATGTTGCTTAACTTAAGTGATTTTACAAGAACTAGTGTTTCAACGTGATGTGGCCGTAAGCCCTTTGTTTTTGGCAGGCTACTTGGTTTATGAAACAGTGAAGAGGATGTAGTGAGTTTATGGAATCTTTAAAATGTAATTGTAAACCAAATTTAATTTTGGCTGAGGTTTTATAGTTCATACTAATGTACCTTGCAAAAAGGCATGAAACCACTTGACCATGTGCAATACCCCATTGCTATATATTCTGATAATGTCATGCAATGTTAATTGATGGAGTAAAGATTTCTGCCTTATCTTTCCTGTTGCTTGGAACATGTGTAATATCAGTATTCTGTCATTATTCTTGGAGAGTAGATTGGCTGGTGACTTTAGTTTGTTACTTTGGTTCTCTTATGCAATCAGTCCGAGATGTAAGCAAACAAGTTCCCATTTGTCTGAGAAACTGAAAAAGAATATTGTTTAGACACTTACAGGATTAGTAATATACTTAGCTTGTAATTTTACCTAAGGTCCGTCTTGTATTTGTTCTGTAAAGGTCTGTAAGTTTAGTTTTACTGGATTGACTAGAACATGTTAATTTTTTTTTTAAAAGATAAACTTTGCTTGTCACACATAATCCTTTGGTATTAATGTTCAGCAGATTGAGTATATATGAAACATACTGCTGACCTTAATTTCTTTGCTGTTACATGGACAGCACTAGATTGTGTTTGGATAGACATACTCATATAGATATACTCATACAATGATACCATTGCTTCAAAGACGCCAGGCCACAGTGGAAGGGGGTAAGATGTCTAAGTTTTTCGGCATTTCATTTTTAAATACAGAGACCTTTATCATCTTCCCTAGTTTGTATGATTTTGAAAAATTTTCCAGATTGTCTCTCATGCACCCAAAGAAAAAGTAATGTGATAAACACATTAATGAAACGCACTATGTTCAATGAAATTAAAACAAAGATCACACGTTCATAAGTAGATTCTTATCGTTTGTCTGATAGCTAAGGGCATTTATAGGCAAAGCATATCATTGGCTGGTTGCTTTGATAAAATTGGTCATTAAACATTATCTTTTTCATAAGCTTAACTGTTGCAATATTTGAAGTATATATTTGTTAAAAAAAACAAAGTCTTTACAGTTTAAAGCAATTATGGAATGGTTTGATATTTTATGTAAACCCAACTTTATGTTACTGACATTGACTATTTTCATTGGCCTTTATTTGTAAGTTCAAGATTAATTATTATTATCTTTTTTATTTCAGTGCCTTAAAACATATTTCCTAATTAGTCTTTCTATTTCTATTGTTAGGAAGTGTCGGGTTATTTCTTCCTAATTTTCGGAACTGTCACTAGGAGACACCCTCCAACACTATAAATACCCTGCAATAAAATTTTATCTCTCTCTTCTTACTTTTCCGTTTATATGAATGACAACTATGTAAATTTTTAACAGAAGAATGTGATCCCTCTTTTGGGACACGTATAAACATTACATATATACACACACACACACACACACATGTACGTACGCACATTCACTCACTACAAATACTTTGGATCAAAAACTTTACACATTCATTTGTTACATGCACATTATTGTCTTTGTCACTTGCAAAACTTTGCTTGTTAATAATACATATTCATTTGTACATATATGTTGGTTCTTGTTTTTTCTTTACATTTCTTGAGGTGGACTCATACTCTGAGTCCGCCATGTTTGTTGTGGGCATTTCACGTGTTCATCTCACAATGTATACACTGGCTTGCAACAGAAGTTCAATGTTTTTACTGACTTCAATAATACATAACTTTTGATTTGTTTATCAGTGACAATCACTCACAAAATAAGTGAGCTTGACAGAAGTGGAAAATAACAGCTTTTAATTTACCTACTTTCTTAGGGTTGCTAGACATCTCTTATGTACTAGACATGTCTTGTATTGAATAATTTTATCCCTTGTTCCATACAGACCTTTTCAGGGACACCCCAAAAGTCCTATATTTAGTTTTCAAATTAGGTAATAAAAATATGTTTCTATTACCTCCTCATCGTTCTTAGTTGTAACTTTATAAGTAATTATGCTTTTTTTTTCTCAGATTCTCTTGATGAAAATAACCCCAATGTAATGAGGAAACTAGTGTTGCTTGATGTTTACACAAAACTAATGTGTTTATTTCTCTGTTATCTGTGTTAAATATTTTCAAATGATTTCACTTTTACACAATGTCTTTTTCTTTGCTTGTATTAAATAATTTTCAAATAATTTTACTTTTATTTTCCTCATAACCCATTAAAATCATTACTTTATGTTTTTAACTTGTGTCTCTCCTTTTATATAATATATTGGTCTGGGTGTGTAGGCATGTATAAATTTATTTACACACACACACACACACACACATATTAGTGAATACGCATAATATCCAACATTGATAACATGACTTGGAGTGTTATGCAGTTTCTGCAATCTTCAGGTGCAAATACAATCTGACCGTTAATTCACATTCTCGTGGTGATGATTCAAAATTTTGTGTTAAAACTTGTTTATTTAATTATTACTGCCTAAAATATTAGAATTAACTAATAATTTATATCATTTAAATTCATAAGTTTGAAAAACGGAGAAATAAAAAAATATAAAGAAATTAAAAATTCTTTTTAATTATTTGAATTTAAATTTGGGCTCAAAATAACCAAAATATCAAGGGGGATAACTCTCATTTTTGACAAAAATATCATAGTAATATCAAATAACTAAAGTAATACTTGGGTGGAAATATAATATAATGGTGCAAATAAAAAAAATTAATAGCTATCTAACTAATATGTTTGGAACCAAGCCTTGTAAGGTTAAATTATATAAACAAACATTATAAATAAATTGAGTAGAGTAATATGGTATTATATGTGTGTATAGATATATAAGAAATGTTATTAATGATGGGATTTAAGAAGATTAAAAGTTGCTGCATATTATAATATTCGTGTAATCTATTTTGTAATCGCTTTTAATCAGGGTCAATGTGTTTAGTAGGTGTTTGGATTTATGTATGCATGTAGACATTAATTCAGACCTCGTGTTCAGCAAGTTAGGGTTATAATAATGTTTTAATATAATAAGCTTCTTCAACAAACATAAGTTACATCTGTCTCCCTTTCCATTGTATAGTTTAGCTTTTGTGATTCTTCCCCAGCTAATGGTTGGATTCTGATGGTTGTTTTTTAATCACCAAACATACTTTGAAAGTGATGTGCAGTTTTTGTATTTAATATCAGTGTCATTTTTGTGGTGGTAGAAATGCGATTTCCAGCTGTTCTCATGATGATTCAAAATTTTGTGTTAAAACTTGTTTATTTAATTATTACTGCCTAAAATATTATAATATATATATATATATATATAAATTAATCATTTCACCCCAAGCAAAATGATAAAGTCACTAAACCATTAATTTTTTGAAGATGATTGTTGGCAGGAAATCAAGAAGCTAGGGGAGAGTTCCACAGGCAAGAAGTGTGAGATAAGAAATTATAAGAATAAAACTTATAGTGACACTTTGGAATTTTAACAGTAAAATTTTGAGGCCTAACTACCAATCTACTATTATTCTTAAATTCACAAAGTCAAGGTACCAATGAAGAATGCTCATCAGAACAATTGCCATGAAAATATAAGAAGCTACATTGCAGTGGTGGGAAAAGTGATTGAAGCCAAAATGCCAGGTTAGAAGCAATAGTATTAAAGATTCTTCTTTGAATTTTGTCATAAATCTCTAGATACTTAGCAGAAGCACCAGACCAGATGTGTCAGGAATATTCAATTCATGGACAAATGGATGCAAGATCAGGTGAGAAGAATTGTCAAGCACAACACAGTGAACCAAGTTTCTTAGCAGCAGACTTAACTATTGACTTGATATAATCATTCCAAGTAGCATCAGTGGAAAATGTCAGACCAAGAAGGCAAAATGAGTTACTTTCTTAGAGATAATACTTGCAGATAGAAGATAAAAAACTTTTTTGAAATGCTTAAAAAGAGCAGTTTGATTTAGGAGGTGTTAAAATTAACAAGCCATTTCATATCTCAGTTAACAACAGAATGACAACTTCATTTCATAGATTGAATCAAATAAAAAATTCACGCCATAAGCCTTCAACTTGAGAAGACTAGGATGCTAAACCCTGTCAAATTCTTTTGAGATATATAAACCAACAGCCAAAGCTTCACCATTCTTATCTAAAGCATGATAGACTTTTTCAGTAATAATTGTTAACACATCCGCATTTGACCTTGTGAATCAAAAGCCATCTTCTTTGTCTGAAAGAAGACCCTGTGTGATGAGATGCTTAACCAGTTTGAATTGATTAAAGCCTTTAATACTTTGCCAAAAAGTGGTAGAATGCTAATAAGTTGATAGTACAAAGGATCATAACTTTAGCTGAGTTCTTAAATGGAACTACAGAGGAGGATTTCAAACAAGAAGCAGCAAGGCATTTATGGTAGAGTTTAGAGAGAACAGAAGCCAGTTCAAGCGAACATTTCTTTAAGACTATTACAGAAATATCCTTGATTGCACATGCTTTGTAGAGATCAAGTTTAGAGATGATAGCAGAAACCACGGACAGAAACTCATCTTGGTTGTTATTTTCACAATGATTCAACCATTTTATCCTCTGGACTTCTTTAGGTATTTGTCATTGTACTTGGTAACATTCTTGGAATTTGGAGCTGGACTCATGATTATAAGATGAGTCCAAAAGGAAAGACTTATAATAATGATAATTCCTTATCTCAAAAAATCCTGATAAAAAAGACATCTTTTTATTCTACAAAGAAAAACACAAGAGCCATTAATAATGTAAACTCCACACTACAAAACCTGTAGAGATAATGAGAATATCTTCACTTTTCTTTTGTTAAACTAAATTTCAGAAAACAAAATACAAATACGAATAATAATTAGAAAAAAAAAAAAGAAGTGTACAGGTATCAGTATAGGATGCATTTCTTTTTTAACTGTAAATTTTAGTAGTAAAAGTATGACAAACT